AACAAGGCAGTTTGGCTGCTGGAGGTCAGGTAACAACACTGCTTGGCCAGAGGCTTGCTGAGTTTCGGATGGAGGTAAGGGAGGAGCTGTAGGCAATGGTAGGAGACTCCTTGTCCTGGGTATGACCTGAAACTACACCCTGCCAGGAGTAGGTGGCCTGGTGGGGCTCTCAGTGGTGCAGGAGCCCCCTGGAAATGCCAGGCCAGTGATCACCCCAGTGAAAGGCAAGTTGGGGTGCCGTAACTGCTAGCCCTCACCTTCAGGTGGGTCATGTTCCATTGGAGGTAGTTGTGGGGGAGTAAGCCCCAAGAAGGGGAGTAGAGAGTTGGAGGCCAGGTGTGGCCAAGGCTGCCTGAGCCCTGCGGGGGTTTGAGACCCTGAGCTGGAAAGTTGGGGCCACCTGAGCCCCCCAAGGAGGGAAGCCCCAAGACCCCAAGTAGAGGGGGCATTGTGAGCAGTGAGGAGGGCAGTGCTGTGGAGCCCCCAGTGTGAGGGGGCAGTGGAGTGCCAGCAAGAGGGGGCAGCAATCAGAAGCCTCAGGGAGAGGGTGATGGGGAGCCCAGTGAAGGAAGAATAGGGGTTCAGCCAGAGAGACTGAGAGCTGAGTCCTGACCCCAGTTAAGTCCTCCACCATTGGGAGGCAGAGTGTGGGTCAAAGAACACCAGTAGTAGTACCACGACCTGCTGCCCAGGGGTGGGGAGTGAGAGTCCCCTGTGAGACCCTGAGGCACCAGTCAGTGTGAGGTAACCCTGTTCCCTATATCCGTAAAGGAGGACCCAAGAGAGGGGTACTCCAGGAAAAGAGTATGGGTCATACAGTGAGGCCTGCCAGAGCTTCCCCTGACTGGCCCAGGTGGGGGCCAGGACAAAGAGGGTCAGAAGGGCAAGGAGGCCCACCACAAAGGATGCCCAAGAGCCAGGGGCCTGGACTCCTGACTGGCCTGGGGGTGGGCTGGGGCTAGTGTGAGCTAAAGGTCCCAGTGAGGGGACCACACCCAAAGGGGAACCGGTGGCAGGGAGATATATGGCCTGGTATGATGGTGGCAGTCTGCCTGAAGGGAGGAAGCCAGATGGGGTCCTACAGTAGCATTCTGGGCCCCATCATGGGGGCCTGACGTGTGAAAACATCGTAAGGTCATCTGCGAGGCTTGGGCTGCGGTGTAGGGGAGGAATGGAGCCGCAAATAGCACCCCCTAGCAGTGGGGCAGAAAATGGGTAGCCTCCTACTTAATTAACAGCTTTATTAATCAATTAAGATCAAGGCATGGCAGGCAAGAAAGCAGGTGGTTAGCCCAAGAAATAGGTGGGCGGGCCATACGGAGATGGGCCCTGGTAGGCCCCCCTGTTACAGCTGGCTAAATATATGGGCTTTGAGGCCTCAAAGCTAGCTTTTTTTTTCCAGTCAGGCTCATATGTCCCCTGCCTGAGGCTGACTTGATGAGACTAAAACGAGCATAACACTCAGTGAAAAAGAATGGGGAAGAGTTGTGGTCATTTTAGTAGCTGACATAGAAAGGGCCCCTACAGCAAAATGCAAGGCACAGGCAGCCAGTGATCTTGAGGTTAATGATAAACTAGGTGGATGGTTACATCCTGCAGTGTGGGAGCAGGCTTTGATGGGAGTGCTGCCAGAAGCAGGCTCCTTTTTTGCTAAAACAGTGCTTTTTCCTAGTGGGGAGCCCACAGCTAGATTGAAGGAAAACATTTAGGGGGCCTCAGCAAACTTTAGCAGTTGGGTGTGTAGGGATATAGAGCCTGGGGCCAGGGTTTGAAGCTGCTGGAACAAGTGTAAGTCTAGCTATGGGAAAAGTTGTGGCGGGGTAGGCAATTAATTATTTTGGACTGAGGGCCAAGTACAAAGTTTTGATATGCTACTGAGGGCTGTATGGGTAGCCCTGCCCCTTGACAAGTGTCTGGCTGCCAGTCCTCATCTTGTAACCAGAAGTCCTGCCCCCTAACCCCTGACCTTTGCCACCAGAAGTCCTTCCCATTGTCCCCAGAAATACTCCTTTCAGCAAGGGGTTTTGCCATCTTAGAACCAGTAAAATGCAAAATGATATTCTAAAAATTGAACATCTACAACATATTAATTTGATTTCAAAAAATATTTTTGTCCTGATTTACATGTGTTTGTGTAGTGTACATAGAGGCGACTGCACAGTAGCTTAAAATGAAGTCTTACCCACTCCCCATAATATACAAGAGTATAGGTTTGTGGGGGCTGTGGATATGTGGGGTATGGGGGGAGGGTGGCTGGGGTTTGTGTATGGCAGTGTGAAGGGAGGTGTGGGTGCATGTTTATGGTGGGGTATACCTGTGGGACATCCTATGAACACATACTCTGCCCCTGTGCCTGCAATCTGTCTCTGCGGAGAGAGAGAGAGAGGATCCTGTGCTCTGCAGTCTGGGGCTGCAGCTGGGAGCCACAACCATGTGGTATCCAAGTGGGGGTGGCGGGAAGCCAGGGAACTGGCTCAGGGTGGGCTGCGCAAACCTGTGGGGAGCCAAGGGCAAATAAATACTAGCTTACTAAACTTCTTTGGGGGACTCTGCAGGCTGGACAGAATGACCTGGTGGGCCATATTTTTCCTGCCCCTGGGTTGTGGCCATTTTGATAGGTGGAGCAGGGAGTTCCCTTAGCATAGGGGTTGGCAATGATTTTTGGCCAGAGGGCTGAAAAACACTACACTCCCTTCCTTGAAAGGTGCTAGAGTGCCGGCATGCCAGAAAAACAAAATGAGGGCAAGGGGTAGATGGCACGATGCTGTTGCCCCCCAGCTCAGACTCTGTGGCTAACAGCTACTCTGCTTCTAGGTAGCTGCTGGAGCCCAGGCTGCTCCCAACAGGGTTTGCAGCATCCCACCTGCCTGCTGAGAGCAGCCCAGGGTCCCAGCTGGCAGCAGCTACCCAGAGCCAGGGCCAGCTGCAGCCGGGAGGTTCTGGCATGAGCTCCCTAGTGGCATGTGCATCCACGCATCTGAGCGAGCAGTGGGGGAAGGACCTGAGGCAGCGCAGCCCCCATCTCTCCCCTGCTCCTGGCGTAGAAGTGATGGCAGGGTTCCAGAGCCTGGTGCAGCTGGTGGTAGCCAGCCTGGGCTCTGGGCAGCTGCAGGTAGGGAAACTGCTTGAGTTTCTTCTCTGACTTGAAGGAAGGAATATCTTAAATAAGAATAACAAAGTATTACAGAAGAGGGGATTTTTCTTGCCAGCACCTTTACAGCATAAAATATTGTAAAACCTCTATAATATGGCATGTGCTTGTCTGCTTCCCTCCCTCTCCCCCATCCATCCATCACTCCCTCCCTCTCTACCTAAGCTTTATGACCAGCAAAGATTTCAAAGTTACAATGTAATGAAAATTAGCATGGCTCCATTCTGCCAGCTGAATTGGGCCATACATTTCTATGTAGGGGGGTGGCCCATTGGGACCAGGCCTGCCCCCCACCTTGTCCTAGCTATCTTTCTGCTGGGACATGTTCAGTAACCAGGAAGGGGGTGCAGGATGCCAGCTTCCCTCCCTCCCTCTGCCCCACCAACCAAACCAGCTTCTAGTGGAGAACATTGTAATGGAATTGCTAAAGGCCCTGGGAGGTCCATGCTTGCTGCTGGGGGTGGGTGGGTTTGTTTAGTCATCTTTCTTGCAAGACTTGCTGGCTGCACACTAGCACTTACCAAGCATTTGACCTCCCTGCTTCTGATAACAGTCCACCCTACAACTTTCCAGTAATGTCATGACTCCATAAAAGTAATGCGGTCCTCAGCTCTCTGAAAACCACCCAACCCACCCCCCATTAGCCATACATGCCATAAATATCAAAAGTAAAACATCACTGGGACATGGCCAGTGTAACCAGGCTGGCTGGCTGGCTGCCTGCCTGCTACCCTCTCACCAACCAGCCCTCCATCCATCACCAAGTGCCATACTGCATGTGATTGGAGAAAGGGAACACTCAAACTTATACAGTTGCTTCATAGTAGTAATACTGAGAGAAATATCAAGGGATTACTCAATGGACCATGGGAGCACATTGTGAATTGGTGTTTTATCCTATTGTATTGTGCTTACTGGCAATGGGTGTATTGTAAAAAAAAATAAAAATAAAAAATATATTCACTAGTTGACTACCAATGACATTGTTGAGTAAAACAAAAATGTGTATACTGTTTTAGCTTTATTGTGATTTTTTTCCCCAATGAAATGGATTCCAATTCAGTTTATAGTAAGGGGGAAAAAATAAAGATGAACAAAAAAATTCTGATTTGTACTTGCTCCTGCTTGATTTCAGGGCATGGACCTGGGAGAGGGGGAGCTATTTGCAGCTGGCCAGGGGTGGGAGTGCAGTAGCTTCCCAGGCTTGACACACAGCTGGTCAGGGCCTGTATTTCAGATTGGTTGGCCTCCCCTCCAGGTACCTCAATAATATGTCTGGGGATAGCTACCTGCAGCATAACACTTCTGGCCTCTCTATAGGAAGCAGAGTGCTTTTTGAAACCCTGGCCGTGGCTGATTAGCAGCTCCCTGCTAGGGTAATGCCTTGAGGTAGCTGAGACCCATCTGATGAAGACATGCCAATATCTGTGTATGAGAAGGAGGTATTTCAAATTTATTGAATTTGGATGAAAAGAAGTTCTCCTAGAACAATGTTTTCTTTGGATGCACTTAATTCTGTAGAGGCCTAAAGGCAGCTGAACAAATTATCCTGGGCTACCTTCGAAGTGCTATTCCTTGTTTTCCTCTCACCTTCTCCCTGTCCTTTGAGAAAGCTGAGAGGAGAGAGACGGCAAGGGAGGATAAAGCAATCCTGAACAAAATCTGATGAGCTCTCTGCAGGAGAGGGGAGCAGGTTGCAGCTGGCGGAGGGAGCAGTCTGCAAACCTGACTGGGAAAGGTGCTGCATGCAGGATTTTGTAAAGAAAATTGCAAAGAAAGCATTGAAGATTATTATTTTTTGCAGTGCATCTCCCATGCCAGTACAGCCTGGAGAAGAAGAAAAAAAAACTCAGGAAAAAAAGCTGTTTTTTGGAGCTGTGGGAGCAGGTATTAACCCCAACCCTGCATTGCCCTTGGCAACCATGCATATGAAATGTATTATGCATTATCAATTTGCTAAAGGCTGTGGGAGGGCCATGCATGGAGAAGTTTTGCAGACTGCCTGTTTGCCACTGGGGGTGGGTGGGGTTATTTAGTCTTTTTTTTTTTTTTCTTACAAGAAATGCTGGCTGCACCCTAGCACTTAACAAGTATTCAACCTTCTTCCAATAACAGTCTACCTTGCACCGCTTTCCAGTTAAGAGTCGCAATGCTATGACTATTAAAACCCCCAAGCACAGCATCCCCATGCTGAGGTGGGCGCGGTCTTGGAAAACCACTCACCCATCTCAAAGAAAACATGACACACATAGAGCAAAAAGAAAACACTTTATTCAAAACGCTGTATTAAAAAAATGGGAGCTTAACAATATAAAATATACACACAGTGTTTAAAAAAAAAAATACCCCCAAAACTCCTGCAATTCTGACTATATTTCACTCTCTTCATTCACAGGTGGTTGCCACCCCGGTGCACTCTGCCTGTGAAAATTTTCTGCAAGGAGGGGGAAAGAGGAAGACGAGGAGGAGGAGCGGGGGTTTTGGAACACAGTAAGAAAAACAACAAGCTTTTGCATCTGTCCTCCACTCACCCCGTCCTCCTCTTCCTCCCCTTCCCCATCCCCCAACACACATGTACATACAAGGTCAGTGGGACATATTACCTAAATATCACCTGGGATGCTGCATGTCCTGGGTGTTGGGTCTGGCAGGCAGTATCCTGCCCCTGGATTTTTTTTTGTCATGGTTCTGAAATGGAATGTGATGAAGTTCAGAAGGTTTGCAGCATTGAAGGAAGTCATGTTACCACTCACTCCAAAGTTTCAAACTACTTGCACAAAACTTGCGATTATGGTGATGCTCCAGCTGTCATCAGGAGTTATGTCCACAGTAGTGGCGGCACACGAAAGAGGCTGCGGGGGGCACAGGTAGAGGGTACGTCGGCGAGCCCAGGCATGGGAAAAGCTGAGCTGAAAGCCCCGGATGCTAATTAAGACTATCAGCTCGGAGAGCTGGCAAAGCAGCAAATAGGATGCTGTGTCCAGCACGAGGAATTAAGGGCTGACTGAACAGTCAGCTTCTGCTGGTGAAGGGGATGGCATGGAGGAAGATCTGTGGGAACACGGAGTGATGGCAGTGGTGCAGGACTCACCAAGGAGACTCGGGAGAGTATTCCGAAGACGTACTTGCCTGAGGAGCCAGGAGGACAAGTTAAGTTGTAGCATCCAAACTTGTGACTTAGTCCAGTGGGTGCAGGATTCTGTTCCAGAAACCTGAAGAAAGGAAAAGGAAAGGTCAAGCATCAATATGAGTTCGGGGTGTTGGCCCAATATAGTTCTGCCCTGAAGGACAAGGGCAGGGACAAGCTGTGTGATGGTCAACTTGGGACCCATGTGGGGAAAAATGGGGCAAGTGACCCAGGACAAGAAACCAGATGTCTAGAGATTAATCAAGGCAAGCCAGACACTGAGACCTGCAGAGAGGGGACCTCACCAGGGATCCTGGTTTTGTCTGATTAAAAACCCCAAATCCATGATAAAAATGAAAGGCCCCCCACAGCCCCTCCCAGCGCTGCTGGTGCCCCA